TATATATATATATACCACATCTTCTCTATCCATTCATCTGTTGATGGGCATCTAGGCTCTTTCCACAGTTTGGCTATTGTGGACATTGCTGCTATAAACATTGGGTGCATGTGCCCCTTTGTATCCCTACATTAAATCGAGCTGTCTGTGCTATCACAGAAATGCTTCCATCATGAGCAAGAAAAGCCCACCTAATTGGGGTGCCTGGGTGGCTCAGTCGGTTAAGCGTCGACTCTTGGTTTCAGCTCAGGGCTGTGAGATCGAGCCCTGCATCAGGCTCTGCGCTGGGCATGGCACCTACTTAAGATTCTCTTTCTCCCTCTCCCTCTGCCCCTCCCCCCTACCTCACGCTCTCTCGAGTGCGCGCACACACTCTCTCTCTAAAAAAAAAAAAAAGAAAACCCCACCTAATGACAATGGCTTTGCATTATAAGATCATTTGTTACGAAAAATTAATATACACCATAGCTATTTGACTCATAATCTCACTTTCTGAAAATCAGTGATATTTCTGCCTGCCTTCAGCCCCACCGAAAGAAACTAACCAGGAGAACAATTCCCATTTTCCTTATGCTACAGAAGACTGATATTTCTCTAATAAGTTTCTGGAAAAATCAAGCAAAAGAACGGCTGATCTCTGCCATGTGGGGCTGCAATTGTTACTTTCAATACTGGTCTGAACCATTACTCAATCTGTCCTTAAGTGTCCCAAATAACTGAGGAAAAAAGTTTGAAATACCATTTTTCCCTCTATAATTTTCACATTCAAGCAAAATCAACATTTTGGAGCCATACTTGAAATATGGATAGAATAAGGACTTTTATCTGCAGCTCCCTGCCCTATGCAGCCGCGGCCCAAGCCCATCCACTGCACCTCACTTCAGCAGAGATAAGATGGGCTGATGTCGGCAACTTGGCAGAGGCCTAATAATGCCCCGCTTACTGGGAGCACAAGTGTGGCCGAAGCCCTTGGAAATCTGTGAGTGAAGTGCAGCATGAATGTGTGTCAAAGACAGCCCCTGGGGGAAACCTCACGGGACCTCCATCCTCCCGCTGGAAGCCAAGGGTCTCTGTTTTAGTCAAACTCCACCCCCCACCCCCCGACCTGGGTTAATTCCTGCAGACACCGTACAGGTTGGGCGCAATCAGATACTTCTCATCCAAATCGTCTGAGGTGGAGGCCGATCCGGGGAGTCCCTTCCCTCACAGAACCTGAGGGGAAGCTGCAGAGGCCCCTTCAAAGCTCTGCGAGGCCTGGCCTTGGCTGGGTCCCTGTGAAACCATAACTCATAGCTCTGATCCTGCTCAGTGATGAGCAAGAGCAGCCACAGCAGGAAAGGCAGTTTCCTCCTCGCCCACCCACACCCGGGGTGACGGAAATCATTGCAGACGAGTGACACTTGGAGAAGGGGCAGGTACAACAGCACCAAAGGCACAGGGACGGGCTCAGCCTCTCCTTCCCGAGTATATCCGTTCAAACCGCGTAGGGCCAACGCCCTGATGAGAGACCGTTCTTTTGTCGGGACTTTGAAGAACTCAGGGTCCAAGAGAACGCTCTTTACCGTTGTCAGACGAGATTTGTGATCTGTCGTGTAACTGTGATCACCCCACTTAGCTTTGGTCTGCTGTTTCTTTAGTTCAGAGGAGTTTTCAGCAGCTCAAGTGTGGGGCTTTGTATTTTTATAGAGTTGTTAGCGCTCCTAAAACTCCGCAAGATCACCTAGAACGTGTTGCATGCTTGCATCTCCTAACAAGCGTTCGGAGAAAATGCCTAGACGGAGGTGTAGGGCTTTTTGGAGAAAACGGCACAATAACGGGGCTCTTTGTGTGTTTGAACCAGTGAACTCGGGAGATGGCATCGACTACAGCCAGCAGAAGAGGGAGAACATCGGCGACCTGATCCAGGAGACGCTGCAAGCGCTCGAGCGCTACGGCGGGGAGGACGCGTTCATCAACATCAAGTACATGGTCCCCACCTACGAATCGTGCGTGCTCAACTAGCGGCAGGCGGCCGCGGCGGGCGCGGGCTCCCCTCCCGGTCCCGCGCTCCCGTCATCCGTCTCTGCTACTTTCGGCATCTCATTCCTGGTGACTTCTACAGCTTTCTTTTCTACAGCTGCTAAAATAGTGGCTTATGGGCCATTGGACCGTTAGCCCTATTGAGAGCAAGGCTTTCCAATACATAAATAGTGCCTGTTTCTTAGATTACAATAGCGTACTGTGCTTATTTGTTCTCAGAGAAGAATTGCTTCTTTATACAGCTCGGACAGAAGCAGGAGTCCGAGTTAAACCTTCAGTTGTATAGACAATAAAACTATAATTTTCATGTGCAATTCAGCAATTGCTATTCTGTGTCTGCCTGCCCCGAGGGTGATGTCAGAGGTTGTAAGGGAAGAGTTTATGCTGACTGCTTAATAGGTGTTTGTCATGGAAGAGAAACCCTCCTTCTGCGGCACCTCTCCAGCAGCTGGGCAGAACTCTGTGCTTTGACATTCAATAAAACTGTTGAATCTCTATTCCAGTTGCAGAAGGACAGTTTTGTGGCCTCTTATGAACCTCAGCTACCAACGTAATGAATGCTTCCAGCCCACTAGTCCTCTGGGCTTTTGGGGGCTTTCTGGTGCATGTTTGGGGGGGCCTGGGGGTCGGGGGTGTGAAATGCAACACACAAACACGATAAAAAATGCTAACGTGAATGCTTGTCCCTCTGCATTATTACCCGCCGCGTCTGAGGACCCGGTGTGTTCTTGACAAGATGTCATCCAGCAGTTTGCTCAGGGCTTTCGATCATTTTCGAGAATGACATATGCATCTTAACGATTCTTTGGCAATTCTCCTTTCCTTTGCTTCCTCTCAACGAGGTGGATGGGTTCTCTCTGTAGGTCTGGGACAGTATTTTGGAATTTTATTCTAACCAAAAAAAAAAAAAAGACTAAGAACATGTACTTTTTCATCCAACTGAGAAAGAAAAAAAGGCGCCCAAAGAGAAGCCCAACCGTAAGGCAGTCAGCCCCGACAATGGCTTCTTAGGCATGCCGGGTGCTGAGCTTGGGGCATTTGAAACTCAGCCCAGAAAACTTCATAAAGACGGAACACTGACTTCGCACACCTGAGAAATGCTGTAACTGCCCAGAAATGCATAGCCTAAAGTATCTCATTGTGTAGCAAAGTGCAGTTTCTGCACAAAAGTGAAGACACAGAATGTGTTCCACCATGCACCGAGCGTTGGCCTCGAGATTACTGTCACTAATTATTTAAGACTCGAGTTTCCAAAGGCAAACACCAAATTTGAAAACTGGTTTATTATTCATCTTCCTTGATGACTGGCTCAGCATACGAAATCTAGTATCTAAGTAGCTACCACCACCTAGTTTCTGTAAGCAATTTTTAGGATAAACAGAGATACATGACTATGTAAAACAAAGTGGCTTTCGTGTACATTTTGAAAAAGCATAGTTAGAAGCAGACACTGACAGGTTAAGGCAGGTTTTTCTCCAAACTGCAATGTTCACTTACACCCATTAGCTCTTGTCCTGGCATCACTGATGAATTTGAAGGGACACCCAAATCCATGAGATTCTCAGAAAGATGGTGACTTGTTGGTGCCATTGAAAGTTCTACTTGAATCTCCTGCCTTGTCTTGTTAGGAGATGGAAGCAAGCCTGGCCTCACACAGAAACTGGCCTGGCTTCTTGCTCTGGGTCATGTTCTTGAAAGCTACCTGTTACAGGGAGCAGGAAGATCCCCACCCCCCTCCCCGGCCCAAGAGCCCCAGCTTTGGCTTGGAACTAAAACTTCAGGATTAATCTTCCAGCTCTGTCATTTACTAGTTCTGCTGCCTCAGGCAAGTTATTCACTCTCTCTGAGTGTCAGGTTTCCTCAGCTGTAAAGTAGAAATTATTCCTACCTGTAGGAATATTGTTAAGGACTAGAGGTGATCCATGGGAAGGCCTAGCATAGTTTCTTATACCTTTGGCGTTTTATTTCCAAGAGAAACATTGTGAATAATGACGAGTTTTTCCCCCAGCAAAGCAATATATATTCAGAGAATCTTCAGACAACATGGTACTTCCTCCAAAGCAATAATGAGTTCTTTGTTATAAGGAGATAATTTTGCAGAAAGCCAAAATAACTGCATAAATAGCACCACGTTCTCTGGAGAATTCTTCTTCATACATTGTTTTACCAGTACAGAAATAGGAATGGCCTGCTTTTTAGATCCTACCCTAAGTTTGTCTTCTACTTCTCCCAAATAATTTCTTTTTTTTTTTTTTAAGATTTTTAATTTATTTTTTGACAGAGACACAGCGAGAGAGGGAACACAAGCAGGGGGAGAGGGAGAGGGAGAAGCAGGCTTCCCGCAGAGCAGGGAGCCCGATGCGGGGCTCGATCCCAGGACCCTGGGATCATGACCTGAGCCGAGGGCAGATGCTTAACAACTGAGCCACCCAGGCACCCCTCCCAAATAATTTCTGATTAACTCAAAAGAGACAGGGGTTTCTTTCACCTGCTACATTTTTACACTGAAACTTCCTTTTAAAGATGCCTAAGGGAATGAAGCAATGAAAAGTGGGAGAAGTCGATTCCTGGTGTCGGCAACGGTGTTTATTTGCCTGTGCATCTGTGTGTGATTGTTTTATTTTTACTGGAAGACGCCATCCCAGTGTCACGGTTAGTCAGGGGAAGCAATCGGTAAGGCCCTGAACCGTGAGAGTCAAGATCTGGGCGGGAACTCTGTGAGCTTGGTGCTCAGGAGCTTCAGAGCCCAGAGAGAGTCACTTGAACCTGATTTCATCACCTCTAATAGCCTCTGCTTCCCAGGGTCGCTGCAAGGGCCAAATGACTGATGCAGGGCACAGTGGCTAGAACACAGGAGTGGGAACCTGGCAGATCTGGGTGTGAATCTCTTTCCACCGAGTAACTGCCTTGTGACTTTGGGCAAATTATCGAAATGCTCTAAAACTCAAATCCCTCATCCCAGAACAGGCTCTGCAATGTCTTCCTTGCAGATTTGTTACAAGCATCACATGACAAATGCATGTCAGTGGTCAGCGCATCAGGGTGACCAGTGGGCTAATGTGATCCTAGGAGGATTTTCCTGGGAAAGCAGCTAGCCCAGTGCCTGCCACAGGTGTAGGCAGGTGCTCAATCCATGAGGATGCACAGGGCAGGGCAGTTCTCACTCTGTCTGACGAGGTCCTATCGGCCAGAGGGTGGTCTCCAGCCCCCTCACAGTCACGGATCTTGGGTAGAACATGGGACCTGGTCGGAAAGACATCAGAGCTTCCACAAGCCCACCTGCCCTCCCAGAAGTCATCTCGGGAGGTACGCCCTCACCTGCAAGAGTGGCTTCCGTCTTCCACCACATTGGAACCCCAGCACATAATTGTTATGGCCCAACTATAGCTGCAAAATGTCAGGCAGAAATACAAAGTTCAAAAGTTCTGTGAAATAGTTGCATACTTGGGGAACAGGATTTCAAAACTGAAGTTTTCTTAAACAAAGAAAGCTTTAAGTCCTCCTGGGTTTACTTGCATGAGCTCTCTAGAGAAGTGTCTGTGTAGGCTGTGGGACATCTCAGAGCACTGTAATTTAGAGAAGTAAAAATTAAGTCATGTTAAGTCTATTTCAATACCCACGGCATCTCTTACTTCTTTTGGCTATTTTGAGATGTTTATCACTAGCCTCTTGCAAGCTGAGGCTGGGAAGCTCAAGACTGATTTTATTTTAAAGAAGTAATATACCTTGGGAAATATTCCCTGAACATTTTTCAAAATAAAAATTTCTACTCTCTGATAGGATTTTAAGTGAAGGCAGAAAAATCTCAAATGTTTTTTTAAACAATTGTCTCCATGAAAGCATCCCTTTTCTAAGAAAGCACCCATTAACCAAAGTTCGTCCAACATGGGACACTTCCAGATCTAAACTGAAAATGACCAAGTTCCCGTTCACACCAAGACAATTCACATTCACTGTTTAAATATTCGGGGTCCAGGAGGACCTCTGCACTCACACAGCCTGCAGATGAGCGGGGCTCCAAGCCAGACTGGAGCCACTCAGGCAGTAAAATCCTCCTCATGGTGACCTTCCCCACCCACGTGTCCCTCTGGGGGCCCTCACAGAACACCATAGCCTTCTAGAGACCCAGAAGGAAAGGCTTTCCCAAGCTCAACCAACCTCATGTCTTCTAAAATAAGATATTTGAAGTACACTAAATTTCTGGTTGCTCCTAGTGCACGAGACTCAGCACCACTTTGCTCTAATGAGAGAGCCCACCTGCGCTCTCAGAGGGAAAGGCCTTTCCGAAATGGGACTGCGACCTCATGCCACATGACCATTTGTAATCGTGCTGTTATAATACAAAAGAACCGCAAGCATCCTCTCTGCCCTGAAGTGGAAAATAATAATAATAATAATAATAATACAAGTGTACTGGGCTTAATCAAGAGCACTTTCCACAGGAAAATACGTATTGGTGTTGAATCTGGTGCTAAAAATACCTCTTGTTGCCTTTGTCTCTCTTGTGGTCTTAAATGCGTGAGTACGAAATCCAAAACCCACATCAGGCTTTGTTTCTGAGAAATCCTAACTAACAGTCGTTCGCCCCTTCAGCTCAAGCGCTGACGATGATATTAAAGCAGAAGTCAGTAGCTACATAGTCCAGTCCAGAAGGTGGCTCAGCGCGATCTCCTGAGGAAGGAATGGTTTATTACCTATGCTCACACAATGTTACCCGACCTTAGGTCCTGCTACTGACGTGGTTTGCGTCTTCCTACAAGTTGCTTGGATTCTGATTAGCTGATTCTCCTCGCACTAGTTAATGATGATATTTGGCGGAAAGTGCTCTTTGCACATTGGCTCATTTGCATTTCTCTGTTTCAGGAGTTGGATGCTTGCTTTCCCCAGTGGGAATATTTTTTAAGGTACTTGGGTCCTTTATTCATTTTTACTTTGTGAAATTTCTGTAAGTTTCAATCTGGGTAGAAGGGTCTGTTTTCTTCCCGTGTTCCATAAGTCTAAACATGTATCACATCAGCTTTGTGGTTCTTTAGAAAGTACTGAGAAATATCCCCTCCTTTTGCCTTAAGAATCTGTTGGAAGCTATACACTGTCTACGCAGGTGAGAGCATGTGGCCCACGGTACTTTGACGATCATTTCAGGGCATTTCCAGACGTGGCTGTCCCCAGCTATGCACCGTGGGACGCCACATTAGGAACGCTTTCATGAGGAGGTGAAGCCGGGCTCTTGCACTGAGAAATGGCATGCTTCCATTAAGAGAAGAACAGAATGTGCTGTGTACCCACTTAGTGACGGGGCC